TTTCTAGGTGAAAAAAGTGTGAAGATTAAGAAATTATCTAATGTTTCTGCTTTATCTTAATTTTCTTCTTTTTCTTTTACTTCTTCTTCCTCCTCTGTGTCTTTCCATCTTCTTCCTCCTCCTCTCCTCCTCCTCCTCCTCCTCCTCTTCACTCCTTCCCCCTTCATTTTTGTCAACAAGATGTTCGAATTTCATTAAAAAAAAAAATCAGAATTCCATGAACTAAAAGGGAAAAGTTACAAGATTCGAGACTAACACCAGGGCGACACCAGGCCGACGCCAGACCGACGATTGACCAACGCAAGACCGACACTAGACCGACACCAGACCAGACCGAATATAAAACTACATAACCCCGAATGACCAAATCTTGGTGGGGTCGTCATGGAGTCGGTGTCGTAGGAGTGACTATATTGGATACAACATTAACACTTTCTTTTGTTTCACCTTTCGTGTCTATGCATTCGCGTGCGTTAAACGTGCGCACCCACCCCATTTCATTGATTTGGGTGTAAATGGTTTCCGTGAACTGCGCTGCTATTCTTTATATCCGTGGTATTAGTTTAGATTTTAAATATAAACACTGGTCTGAGCTGAATCGCAGTCGCACAATGCTTTGACTACATTAGAAGAAACTCAATCCCAGGTTAAGTGATCGCGATATCGATGTGGACATTCCACAAAATAAGTCACTACAAGTCTACAACGTCTGCTTTGAGCTAGATAGGCGTGAAGTCAAATACTTTAACATTGAGCTAAACCTTTTCTAGCCGTGAACAGACAACTACTAAGGAATTAAAATGACGCCTTGCTATCGACACTTTGCTCTTTTATCAAGTTTGTCATGCTTTCATGTTTTTTGGTGTCTTGTCTATAGTTGTCTCCACAACAAGTTTAGCTATTTAGTAATGTTGTATTTTTGACAAGTCTATCCAGCTTATATTCAGAACACGATGCTTAACATGTGAAAAAACACCTTTGAATCAATTTTCATGCTAACTAAAATCTTTCGAATTGAATGAACGTTTAAAACTTCTGAATCATGCTTTCACTAAAAGTAGAAAGTTGATTGTCTTCACGAGATGAAAACTCGGCAGACAAAATGATAAATAAAGACTAAGGACCACTTTGGATTGGATGCTAATCTAACTAAAGCAAAATGTTGTGCCTAAACAACCACCATCCCTATAGAAACAGAACATATAACATACCCCCCCCCCCCCCCCCCCCGCCGGGGCTATGTATAACGAGATCAAGCGAAACATATTTGCATGTTTTGAATGAACGATTGCAGAACCCTTTGACTGATAAAATATCTATATACTCTCTCAATCATGTTTTGGTGTTCATTGTTCTCTGGAATGTACATTAATATAGGTTTTGTATTATTTATTTTTATTTCAATTTTGCTCACAAACGGTTTTGATGGCATGCCAATGTATCCGTACTTGTGTCGGTAGTCATTATGTCATGTTTCGCGTGATCTCGTTATACAGCTATTTATGATTTGTTGTATGAAAGTATGCGTTGTTATTTGCTTGTTAACCGATTATCATTTCAGACTTGTTCTTGTTTATATAGCTGCTTGAGTGTTTCAGAAGTAGGGAAAACTGTAATATAAATGTGTTTTGTTTGTATTTGCCTTTGAATAAATTTCGTTCTCATGAATTCACACCATGTACCGCGTACCAATTGGTAGTCTTCAGTAAAACTGATTGATACGTTCATCACATGAAGAAAGGTAATTCATACACGCACTCATGAAAATATAACATCGCAATCCAACGTTTCAATGTCACTAATAGCGTACATAATATATAACATTATTGTATCCTGGTGACGATACATATAAAGCCATTTTTCAGACGGATTCACTTGATTAAAAAATGAAGCAAGTTGCACAAGAAGCATGCATAGCAAAGTCCAGCCATAAATTCATTGATGCCACCGCTCTTTTTGCTGAATTTATATTCGAACTCAGTATATTATAACTACGATTAGACTATTTCCAAACAATATGACCTAATATACCAATAAATAAAAAAAAAGGAAGTAAATACAATTACACTTGTGTATGAATAAGTCCAATATACACGATCGAAACTACTTAAACAAATGAATCTTATGCAATTTCCAATAACCTTATGCATCATCATTTGCAATATACGAACATGACAATGACGTATCGAATAATCCCAACATGATTTATATTTAATTAATGGACAATAGGGTATTCAAACTTCCTTTGAGTATATTTTTGCAAAATTGTTGCGACCGTGTTTAATGATGATATGTCTTCGCTGCATCAATTTCAGTTTACTAAGCTTTATCCACTTACTTATTTTGTTTACTAAGTTCTCATTGTATTATCATGAAACAAATTTATGTATTCGCATTATAACTTGACATTTTTTTAGAATTTACATAATAATAATAATAATAATAATAATAATAATAATCTGTTTTTATAAAGCGTTCAATACATCGATCCGACGATGTGCCTAAGCGCTTTACAGATATATTATTACCCCGGTCATCGGATTCAGGCTCACCCACACACAATGTGTGCACATTTTCCACTCCCTGGGGAGCATTCCAACCAGTCGCCATTTTACAAACGCACACTTTTCTCATCCTACCGGGTACCCATTTAACACCTCGGTGGAGAGTAGCAAGTGCAGGTAAATATCTTGCCAAAGGATATCAGTGCCGTGTCGGGATTCGAACCCTCGACCTTCGCACTCCTCATATTCATAATGTCGCATTTCAATAAGTACGTCTTTGCAGTAATGAGACCAATACTAAGATATCGTTTTTATAGGAGAGGAGACAGTAGACGGATTCGATTGATACTTAAAAATATTTTAATGATATAAATAGGAATAGTTCAGAAAAGTTCTTTTCTACTCCAAACAAAGATCTAAGAGGTCACTACTAAAAAGCTTTACCAAAGACGTACTGGCACAAAATTAGCTGGCCACTTTTTCAAAATCCAGTGGTCCAACCCTGGAACAGTTTACCTCACGATATAGTGTCTGCACCTACTGTGGCTACTTTTAAGAGAAAACTGAGAGCCCTTCCCATATGACAAGAGGGCTTATCAACCAAGTATACAGAGTATACCAATAATTAAAAATGAATATTTATACCACTATAAGAAAGAAAGAATGCAACATGCTCTTTCAAAACATTATTCTAAATGATGTTAAAAAAAAACATGACAAATGTGTCGGGATAGAGTTTAAAGATAAACTCCAGTACTGGTAAAAAAAAAAAAAATGATTCTCACAGAATCAAACGAAACTTACACTGAATGTTCAAGATTACAAATAAATGACATGTGCCAAACAATTTTGGAAGAAAATGTATACTGGCTGAGTAATGAGCATAGAAAGACAAGGAAATCAAGGTAGTACAAGCCCCGACACCATGTGTGTCGTCCCATATATAGCTTTCTATGTGAGTGCTTGTTACTTTACCAAGACTCGGTCAAATTTATTATGATTTTGATGACTCCAGAACCTTGCAGTGCACACCAATACTTACATGCTACATAATCACCTGTTTCTGATCCTTTCCACACCTTTTCTTTCACAATGCAATCGCATTACCAGTACTAAAGTTTATCTTTAAGTTGCCCTTTATAAATCATTAGACACATTCTGTATCAAGATGTACGATTCCTCTTCATTAAAGCCAGTTATTATCAGCTTTTGAATATCGCGGCAGATAATTCTGAAAATACTAAATTTGTTATCGACCATTACAAAATGCATATAAATTGTAAACCAAACCTTGGATCACTCAAGATGGGTATCAGAAGAAAAACATTTCTCTCCTATATCTGCCTTTTAGTGGCTTTTCGTTTGAATCTTCACAATTCTGCCGTTTCTTATCGTTTGTAATTGTAAAAAGCAAGGTATTTATTATTAAGGAGTCCGTTTCTCGAAACCGTCGTAAGTCCAACTTCTTGACTAAACCAGCGCTAAAAAGCCACTTTTCCGCTACTCGTTCCACAAAGCTCTCTTAGCCAAAGTCAAGGACAATTATCCGACACCGTCATATCTCTCTCGTGACTATTTAGTCGATATGCAGCACCACCACACCTCTTGTATTGGGTAGATTATGGCTTGCAAAATGGACAAGAAATTTTCCGGCTACTACCGTTTTTTATTGCATGAACATTGTTTTGAAAACATGTGATGTTTATATTTAAGGTTTTTGTCCCACTGATTCTACGCGTTTATATCCACATTGTCATTTGAAAAACAAACATGTTGAAGTAAGATCATCTCATACGATACAAAGGAAACTGGAACATAACAATCATGATAATAAACAAACTAACAAACCCAAAGAAAAACAAGTCTTAAAAAAGAAGGAGAGAGAGAGAGAGAAGGAAAAAAGAAAGACAATGTTTGATAGGTCTGTAAAAAAAAAAATAGTGGGTTATGGAAGAAACTAATGATATATAGACTTTTATGAAGTGTGTTGGGATAAAGATTTTAAACACTTGTAATAATAATCTCCTTGGAAAGACCGACCCCCTCCCCCAAGCATTTATAAAGAAGTCCATTAAATCATGTAAAGTTTTACAATTCGAAAAAAAAAATTGATCCAAAGCTGTTAGTAGGTCTAGGTTTTAGATAATAAAGTTTCTGACTTCTGACGGTAAAATATTTATTTAGTGTCTATTTGTTCTACATATCTAATCAGTTAAAAGTGATAAATACAATACATAAATTGCATCAATTTTATCTACAAATGTGTAAACTGAATAGTTCAAAACGTATTTTTCAACGTTTAGAAGGTTAACATGTTGTCATTTAATATAGGAGTGTGATCTCTTAAATAATTTTGTTAATGTTTAACTATTAAATTAAAATATTCGGGAGGACTCATAACAAAAGAAAAAATGGTTCACCGGTCGTGAAATTGATTACTCATAATTGCATTTTACATGTAAAATCCATGGTATAATCTACCTAATTTCTGATGCATTTCTTGTCACCTGCTGCTATTTATAATTACTATATTTCCTTATTCATTTAAATAATCGCAGTTTTAAAAATTCCTGTTTTTAAATGAGGTGGAATGGCGACTAAGGCTTTGTCTCGGCCTCTCTTCTCGCCGATAGTATCGATATCATGAGCTGTTGGTCTTGTCGTTGGTTTCGAGAAATGGGCTCACGAATTCGCCTTCATTTTCATTTCTATTCCACATTTTTGTGCGATGATGTGAGTGCGGTTTGAAGGTTGATGGGTTTTAATGAAACGTCGAAACATATCATGATCCGAATCTTGACTAGAAAGGGAATTGAAAACCGCTAATAAAGTATATTGATATGATTCACCTCGCAACCATGATTATGTCCGATTATTAAAATTGACACTTGTTTTAAAAACATTTTCAACTCCCTTCATACCCTTTTAATGATTTTACCCCAATCTTTGTTATTTGAAACCCATTCTCAATCTTTCAACTAGGAATGAGGAAGAGCGGGAAAATTCCAGAGTGTAAATAATTAGGTCAAACAGGAAAAGTCGGTGTGGAAAAAATACCAGCAGTGCATGCATATTGGATGGAACTAAGTGTTTTAATAGCCGTATTTAGGAGGAGGCCTATTTGATCCAAACGAAAAAGGACGTATTCCACTGTTCACTTGTGGTACCGAATTAGGAATAAGTACCGCTTGAGGGGTACTGAAAGGTTCAGAGGATTTAAATTTATCCAACTCTTCTCGTTGTTTGGCTAGTTTTTTAGCGTCATCCTCATAATTTTGCTCCAGCAATTTTACTACGAGACCCTTTATTTTCTTTACTTTTCTTCTTTTCTGGTCAATTTGGTTTTGTACTTCGCGCTCCTGTTTCTGCAGATCTTTTAATTCTTCTTCTGCCATTTTCATCTTTTGCTTTTCTTCATCAAGTCTAGACCAGCCATCTGGTTTCTTCGGAGTGGGAGTGGTACCATTTATTTTTCTCTTCCTTTGCTGACTGCGTGTCAATTTGGCTTTCGGACCTAGATGTATGAACGAACATCAAAATATATTTTCATGTTTTTTAATTTTCTTGTTTATGTTTTCAAAAAAAATAAACAATAAGATCTTACATTAACACAGTAGTACATTAAGGAATACATGCACCAGATAAAGTATAAGGTCAATTGCATTTGTTTAACATTTATAATAAGTATACGTATAGGATTACCTTGTTTGCAACTGACCTGTTCCTTTAACTATCACAGTGTTTAAAGGTGTTTAAATGGGGTAACGAATAATAATAATAATCATCATCATTTAAAGGTACTTTGTCCCTTTTGCAGCCAACCTCAAATGCTGTAGAACTTTGCAGGAATTATGAATATGTCATGTATGTCCTATCTGTGAAATTTAAACGTTAGCAGTGTCCTCATATTCAAATTATGCAAGGAAACCCGTTTACTTGCTAGACTTCACTGTCAGACACTTTTGAGTGACTGACTGGCTTTTTTTTCTTCTATGGTAATAACATACATGAAAAGAGTTGTAAAGGGTACATGAGCATTTGTCTACATCAATAACCCACTTCTTGTGATGGCCAAGATTAAACTGATTGAATCTTTGCGCAGCATAAAACGTATGACCATTCGGTACAATCGTTTGAAAATCAAGACTACTACTTTTGGGCTCTATAGTCGATTTGACAACTATTAGTCGCTATTTTACCACTTAAAGACATTTTCAAGCCCCACAGTTTTAGTGAAGTTCTAAATTAGTATTATCTTTCAAATGCAGTTGGAATTTAACTTTTTCATTTTTTTGGCATGCAAATGGGACATAGTACCTTTAAAGTCCACTCCGACTTTTATGAAACCGAAAATGGAAATTATTTTTGCCAAATTGATCGTGAGCCCGGCAGCCACTGAGCAGCGCCAGATCGACGTTGCTCTATCACCTATTAGGGACTTTTAGATTCGCAAGAAGACATTGGGGGTTGCTACGATCGACGTCCTTTTAACGCACTGCCTTGAATGGACGTCAAACGTATCAGTCCACTCAAATCTAAAAGTCCCCAATGTTGAACGCCAAACGAGGTACCAGCAACTCCTGTCTTTTAACGTATTTTGGTATGACGCGGCCGGGGTTCGAACCCACGACCCCCGGTTGTGAGGCGGGCGCTCTACTGACTGAGCCAACACAACGGAATTTGGTTCAAATTAATATATTGGAAGCATATGCGATTTTACAATGTTCAATGATCGTTGTCGCTGTTAAAATCGAGTCTAAAGTGATGAAATGTTAAAAAATGATCTCGACTACAATTGACCGATTAGCTATTCCCGTCTGGAAATCGTATATCAGGACGGCATATTCTGAGATTTTCATGGTCGCAACTACCATGGAATGGCCTAAGGCGTTATTTGAAATATTTGAAATTTATCGGGTGCACCGGTAAATTTTTGATTATTAGATTTCTCGAAAGCAGAAGTGTTTTAAAGGGGCTAAATTGTCTAGTACTTATAATACATCCCAGGGGCATCCAAATATATAAAAATGGTAAAGAATCACTATCTGTCCAAATTTCAATATTTCCCAAAACTACAAACAACAGGGAAATATCGCTAGATTGGAAATAATAATTTGTAAAAACATTGTTTCCAGTTGGGTAAATTGTAAGCGATCTCCTGTCTACAGTATATCCTCATTTCTGTATTGCAATGAAAGGTCTTTCCCACGAGCGATGCCATTGCCTCAACAGCAGATTGTGTAGATTCGTTAAATTTAGTAAAGTATTGACTCACAGTTAAATCGTACAAAGCAAAATATCAAAATTACTTGGTTTACACAATACCAAATAAAATGCCTTGCTTAGCAACCAAATTGAAGGATTTGGGTCTTACCTTTACAATAAGTCCCTCAAGACCATCTCCCCCACTTCATTATAATTATTGCTGTTTGATTTATTTTCGTTCGATACCTAATTGCGAGTTTTGTTTCATTCGTTTGAAAATATATATTTCGTTCGTTATAATTGACAAATCTCCCCAGGTTGTTTATCATTTACATACGGGCAAGTCCAGGATATGCCTCATATTAGACCATGGAATGGACGTGAAAAATGTGACTATTTTTCAATTTCCGTGGGTCACCTCCTGCAGCCGTACGAAACTACGTATGACCTAAGGATGTTGTTAAGTGTGGGCTTGTAATATATTTACTGTACAAAATGACTGGAGTTAGTAGTAAATGCATGATCAGCTATCCCTGCGCAGCTATCATGTAAAACTTGCGCATGAATATTACTGCGGAACGTATTGCATTATGGAATTATTTTAATACACAAATATCGTTTTATTTCATGTTTTGTTAGATTTATCTTGAACAGGGCTATCACATTGATACAATGATCATCATATACACTGAAATCTTAGATGTAGTCGGTAACTCATGGGACAAAATACTTTGGACCTGCTCATATTATATTCTGTACCACACACTCACGAGAGTTTAGATGTATTTCAGCTGCGGCCGTATGACCACTCTTAATCAGTGCTTCTCTCAGTCTATCACTCTGATCTTCGATGGCAGTAGCATTCATTGCTTTGCGCAGAACCTTGCAGCAGTCTAACTCCATGGTTGCATCAGCTGCCGACAGACCAAGATTAACGGCCAGCTTCATGACATCTTTCTTGTTTCCGATGTCTGTTGCAATGTCTATCAATATTTTGTCCGTAATTCGTGTTTTCCCCATGCTGGTATCCTATCGAATGTTTAAACAAAGGGAACCGAATTGTATTTTACAGAACTATAGATGGTGCGGTAAAAATATTATTCTCAATTAATAATAATAATAATAGCTCGATCTTTAATACATAGCGCTTTTCAGGACCGCAGGCCCTCTCAAAGCGCTTTACAGATACGTATATTATTACCCCGGGTGCTTGTTTGTAATTTCACAATATATAAGCACACAAAATACAAAATCCACAGACAGCAGACAAAAACATAAGGACATATATTTCATAATCCTCCGAAGGCTATCGAAATAAAAACTAAAATGGTTAAAAGAACCAATTGCTAGTTCTTAATTGATTTATTGATTTTTATTTAATCTGTTCATACTTATTCAAGTGGATTAATTTGATATTTGATTTCATATGATTAAGTTTATTTATTATTTGTATGGTCTTTTCCAAAGCTCCAAACTAAATGCAACATAAATCATGATGATAAACAAATCCTATAATCAAAACATCATCAACGTTCTGCGCGTTCTGAGTCGTCATTTTTTAAAGCTAGATTCCAGAATTATTGATAATTTCTAAGAAAAATCATTGTCATGTTCGGAATCTCCGGCAATTATTTTTCTACATGTCTTTTTGTCCCATTTTGTTAGCCCTTTTTGGTTAGAGTGGCCCTTTAAGTGCAACCAAAATATACATGTTAATATTCCATCTCAGTAGCAGCCATGACAACCGTAACAGACGTACGGGATGAATGCATGAATGAGTCACGAATACATATTGATATAACAAGTGGAAATACAAATAAGAACTCCATTATCATGATTATTAGACTTTGGACAGAAGTTGAATTGCATTGATATTATTTCAGTTCATGATGTTGCTGATGTTATCTGCTGTCATGTAGTAAAATTAAGTTACAAATAGGATTGCAAACTCTCTTAGAATTGTCTCGATTTCTGTTAGATGTGATAACGAAAATGAAAAAGTAGATTATCACTCGAGGTACGCCTTCTGTATTCCTCATAGCTTCTGATGCACGTGTGTGGTGAATAAATAATAAAAACATCTCTCACAAATCGCATCTCATTGACAACCATGACAACAGTAACAGACATTGTACATTGTACGAGATCAATGCAAGAATGACGTAGTGGTATAACCTAAATACCATAATATCATTGTGAAAATATATTATGTATTGATGCAGAAATTCAGGTCACAGTTACATGGTGTTAATATCGCCATGCAGTTAAATCCATGAGACCAGGAAGTAACAGTATACATGTGGCATACATGGTAAGAAACAATTGCATAAATGTGTACATGAATCAGTATGACATTGCAATATAACAAATTTGAACGTGAACAAAATACAAACAACTGCATAGAACTGGCAGAATGCTCTACACTATATTTTTAGCTCACTATAAAAGTTGTGTATAGAATATTTTAAGCCAGTGTTACTGATGTCGTGCAATTGAGTAGGGTTTAAAAAAGAGATCACATCAACTGACTTCAAGTTGTGTCAATTTCCATGGCAAAGAAGCTCATAAATGGTGTACAATAATGTTGTAATTATTGTGTTACCAATTTCAATCAAGTGAGAATATTGACACAAATAGGAAAATAGAAGAAAAATGAAAGAGAGAGGAAAATGTATATATGTAAGATTTAAAAAAGCCGAGCAGCGTTCGAAGTAGGCATGCTTTACCTCTAGTCACTATGAACATGACGGACAAAGAAAGAGGACAAAATATACAGTTCCTCATTCTACCCTTAAAAAATTGCTGTGGTAGACAAAGGAACATCCCTTCACTGCTATTATGTGTAAAAATGTGTAAAAACAGGTGAATATGCATGTGACACCTGTTCTACACATTTTTACATAATAGCAGTGAAGGGAAGTGAAGAAATGTTTTATGACTCCAGAATAAAGGTCATGTTTACCTGATGTTATTGTTGTCATAAATTTGAATGAAGCTGTAAAAACCAAGTGTCATGATTTTTAAAGCTAGATTCCAGAATTATTGATGATTTCTAAGAAAAATCATTGTCATGTTCGGAATCTCCGGCAAAAATTCTTCTACATGTCTTTTTCCCCCCATTTTGTTAGCCCGTTTTGGTTACAGTGGCCCTTTAAGTGCAACCAAAAGACTCGTGTCAATATGCATTTCTTTAACAACCATGACAACCGTAACAGACATACGAGATGAATACATGAATGAGTCACGAATACATATTGATATAACAAGTGGAAATACAAATAAGAACTCTATTATCACGATTATTACACTTTGAACAGAGGTTGAATTGCGTTCATATTATTTTAGTTCATGATGTTGCTGATGTTATCTGCTGTCATGTAGTAAAGTTACGCTGCAAGAAGGATTGCAATCTTTCGTAAAATTATGTCGATATGTCTGTTAGATGTCATAAAGAATCATCTCATGTTCCTTTTCCTTCAGTTTTTCCCTCGCTCTCATGTTTTTTGTGTGGCCATTTGATTTAGTAAATGGATTAAATCGAGCGTCAAATGCTTTGCTCAAATCCATGGACACACCAATAACACGATTGCGATCAACTAAGACAGTTGGCACCCTATCAAATAGTTGCATTAATGCTAATTCCGTTGAATAGGATTTTCTATAACCATATTGACCTTGATAAAGAAAACAAGTTTATGTTGTTAAAAAGTGATACCGTCTATTTTAAACGAGTTTTGCTATAACCTTCGAAATACTTAATTGGAAGGATTGATAATTGGTAATTTGAAACTAGCATCGAATGTATTTTCTGTAAATTGGAATGACTTTTGCTATTTAATGCATACGTAAGAATGCAAATACGTAATAATAGCGTTACGATACTTCCTGCAATTTTTGTTGTAATGCGAACTTATTTCATCATGACTACTAATTATGTTTCAAGGATTGACATTGTTTAAAATGTTTATACAATATGTAAGCATTACGAAAAATGATTTATTATATTAATTTGCAAGAAATTGTAATTATTCCGTAAAAGTATAATTCACTGTTGGTGTCTAATTAGAAAATACTCCTATACGGTATACTTATTGACACAATCAGATACATCTGTTGGGTGGGAAATTTCTTGACCTTCAGTGTAAATAAGATATTTAGACGTTTTTATTTTGCTTCGTTAGGATTTCATTAATAATGTTCCAAGTAGGTGTTGCATTGCAGTTGGTTATATCGTATTCTCTTATAAAACACATTTTACGAGAAAGTCTACTTGTTGCTCTTAATTTCGTACATTTATATCTGTAAATAGCTAAGAGACATTGTCGATGTATTAAGTGCTATATAAATGCGGAATAGTATCATTATTAATAAAAACATGTACCATGCGTTATTGACATCATCGCACATAAGCAACGATATTTATAAAGCCGCCCGTTCCAATTTATTGATAAAGTATTTCTACAAATCACGCACATCGTAATGGTTTGAAACTGAAACTACTTAATAAAAAAACCCTCAATAAAGCATTCGTTTTTCATTGACTCGCATTAATAAATCTGGTCACAAGGCAATGGATTGTTCCGGTGGAAGAGTTATCGGTAAAATAAGGCGATCCTGGAAGATATAACCGCTTCCGAGCAATCCGTCTGTTAGAATAGTATTTATTCCAGCAGGCAATTCGAAAAGAAAATACAAAAACGCGCGAACAATCAATAAACGAACACGCGAAACATAGTCGACGCCGAAGTGCATTATACAGCGTGTATAAAAAAAACAGCACGCATTTAATAAATCTCCTTCAAAATTGATAATTTATTTGTATCTGCATGATTTAAAAGAAATGAAATTAGGGGTAAGGATCTATTCGATCGGATGGCAATAAAATTATTTAAAACATGTTTACGCTTACATATGTCCTATACGGGCTAATTACAGAAAAAATCCCGAGAATTGGTCACAAATTGGTTTGTTTAATGAAACTAGGGGTGAGGATCTATTCAATCGGATGGCTATAAAGTATTGCAAATATTTTACGCTTTCATATGTACTGTTATCAAATTAAAAGTCGTGAAGTTTTTTTTTGGCAAAACAGTATCGGTCTTTAATTTAAGCAAAGGGTATATTTGGTATCAATTGCAGATGCTCTTTAAATAATTTATTTGAAACATACATATCGGAAATTCAATTAAGTTAAAGTGTAAGAAGGGTGGGTGGTGTAGTTTCTTGGATTATATTGTTGTTGCTAATATGATGATAATAACTTATGCACTCTGTTTTATGTTTTTTTCTTTACTATTATCATTAGTATTAATTGATCAATCGATCTGAAGCGAGTGATCCATTGATCTTCCTCTTTATTCTAATATGAGCTTTTTCTAGAATAGTACTTGTAATATATGCTAATGTTTTGTTTCTTTATGAGTTATGATTTTTGTATTTCATATTTTATGATCGTCAATAAAATCGAACCAAACCAAAACGGACGAAACATGGAGTGCACTGTTCGTCCATATCTATCAAATCTAAGTTTCATGGAAGCAAACGAAGCATAACCTTTGTCAATTAATATGTTTCCCCCCTAAATGTTCAATGCACCGTGCGACGCGCTGTTACTCTGGACTTGTGACTTTTAAGATGATTTAGAAAACATGTAAATGATGGATATCTTCCCGTTCCCGCATTTAATCATTACAACACTATCCAGAGAGACACGTGTACTAATGGAGATTTGTATGCAGATGATCTTTGCTGGAAAGACATAACCTGCCTTTACGGAGGTGGAGGTGTTGGGCCAGTGGTGTATTCAGCATTGGGTGAAGCTGGTGTAGCTTATCCTTGAGGTGCAAGAAAAAAGTTCAATCAAACTTGCGAATGGGGAACAAGAAGAAAGTTGCCTAGATACATTTACTAAACCCCTATCCTGGGAGGATACTGCCCCTATTCATTATGTACACTTGGGACATGCAACAGGGTTAAAGTTAAAATTATTTTCTTTTCTTCAAATCAGTAATTTACACAGAGTT